CCCCTTCTACCTCCCCCCTCCCCCCCCCTCCTCTCGCCCTTCCCCCGCACATCCCACTGAATTCCCTCGCACTGCTGGACAACTGTTGCTGGTAGTGCATCCATTATTACAGCATTACGATTTGCCGTCGTGCTGAGTATGTGCAGTCTTATGCATATATGCAGGAGAGTTCGTGCTTGTACGTGTTATAGAGTTCGCATGCTCTCTCTCTCTCTCTCTCTCTCTCTCTCTCTCTCTCTCGCGCGCGCCACGTGTACGTGTAACGAAGTAACGGGATGCGCGCATTAACACCTTCCTTCGACGTCTCGCGATGTACAATACTTATTTCGGCGTGTCCGCGGACAGATACGCGGCATTAATCCTGTAACGTATCATTACGTACGATCTCATCGTATTCAGAATATTCAGAATGATCAGTAAGAGCGGGAGAAACATGTCGCGGGCGTTGTCCGCCTCCGTGTTCGACGCCGTATAATTCTGAATGTTTAGAAACGCCGCACGACGCCGGTTTGCGCTTAATCGAACATCTCCGACGCGTCGAGCGTGGCGCATCTTCGTTATTACAGTGTCCGATTATTAATCGCAAGATCGTACCACGCGGAGGGTGAACTATCGTAGCTATCGTACACGCGTGCGTTTCGTATAGATATGCCATTAGAGATATCTCTCTGTGCGCCCGCACAGTGTCTCCATTCGGCCTCGCGCGAGAAAATGACAAATGCACGTGTATGCGCGATACGTACACATCGTACGTACGTACGTACGTACGTACCATCGTCGGCGTCGGGTGGTCTTACGCGAGCGATCGAAACGAACGGCCAAAGCAGCCACAGCCAAGCCATCCCCGACCGACCAACCCGGCATTATTATTACGCGGTGGCACCGTGCAATTCGCGCGGGCCGGAGCTTAACGTTCGTAAAGCACGTAGGCATTATCGCGCGAACAAGGGGTTCCTTTAATATTTCGATCGGCGCGCTCGCGAGTTATTATCCTCGCAAATCCCGCCGCGGGCCGGCCCGCGTGTGCGCCCGCATGAAGACATTACGCGAAAGCCACGAACCCGCCGAAACCAACCCGTGCGAACGCCGTAATTACAATTGCCGCAGGGGAAGAGACGGCGGGAGAGAGGGGAGGGGGGCGGGGACGAGAGTCGCGCGTGACAAAGGTAATTGCTCCCGCGTTAATTCTTGCCAAATGTATCGACGGCACGTCATAATTCGGCGAGTTAGCCTTGCGAGTAAACGTTTAACTCTTCATTTTCGCAGACTCATCGTTTGACGTTCGTTGTTAATCTGATATCTTTTCTGTAGACTTTTGTATGACGAGCTTTAATCTAAGTTATCTAAAATTATGAAGTATTTATTTTCTTTTACCGCAATTTTTTGTACAAATCCGTATAAAATTTTATAATATAGACATTTTGAAGAGAAATATAAAGTCTTTCAAAAAATATTTTGAATATTTTGAATTATGTAAATTATATTATGTGCGATCGAACGGAAGGATTTGTGTGAGAAAGATGTTATAACGAGGTTCATAAAATCTTATCGTGATAAACAAATGTCGCACGAATATTGATATATTATATGAAAAAAATCATGTAAGTTTTTACACAGTATTTTTTTTCACTACTGATATCTGCCGATAGCTCTTATCGGGACAAAGTGTTTGCTAAACGGATTCTCGAAAATGTAGAATGCTTAGAAGAGATGAGAATTCACGACGGAGCCTGATGTCGTGGATACATTGCCTAAAGCGATCAATCATCTCTCCGGAGAAAAGCACCGACAAGAATATGTAGTTATTTGGGACGTAGCGATTCTTTTTAAAACATAAATTTGACACGTACTAATGATTCACCTGAGGCTTGATCTGAACAGTAGAAACTCGCGAGGCACGTCAAACTGCAATTGTCGCGATCACATTCATCCGCTTCTCTCGCGCGGCAAAACCGGTTTTGCTCCCTCAGATCATTTTCATCAAAGACACGAATGATCGACAAACAGACAGATAAACAGGCGAGCCTCTAATTAGCCAATGAGAGGAACTTTCGTTCCCTTGTCGTCGCTTATACATCAAGTTTGAATACAGAAATAGAGTGCCCTAGGCAATCGCTATCTCTGGCAACTCGCAAGGTAAACCAGGATTTTGCTGACTTTTATAATTGGTATCAGACGCTTCTTCATTCACTTGTTCTAAAAGCAGCTGGTAAAAGAGATACCCGTTTGCAGAATATGTAAATAGCTTGTACAATTAATGTATAAAATATTATAGAGAAACTTAATAATTTTTCAAGAAATTAATCACTAATATTAATTTAATACAATTTAAAATTACTTGATAAATATTAATAGTTAATAAATTAAATGTATAAGAAAGTTGACTATACATTGTAAAATGCAACCATTTGCAATGGCTACCATCGTTTCGTAATTTCATATGTAACTTACTATCTGTATAAATTACAAAAGTTAATGGCTGTATTTTTACTTAAGTTTACATATTTTATAAAATTATAAACTCGAAGAGAATAAATTTGTGAAAGCGCGCTTAGATATATTTTACATGTATACACGTTCTATGATTACTATTCGTAGCGTATGAAACAGCAAAATTTTAATTTTCATATAAATAACCAAAGTCAATTGTAGATAACACCCGATTATCTATCAAGCATCGTGGGTATCATCGTATGCATGAGAAATATCGCGACATACATTTGCGTCGATTCTGGTTTTAACTGCCGGTACTTCCCTGCCCGTCCATTATTTTTTCCTCGCCACTGATAATGTCCTATACGACCTTGAAATTGCCTATAAGAAGCGAACTTGAAAACGATTGGATTCAAACTCGCTGAGAAGTTCGTTCGCGATGAAGCGAATCCTGGAATTGTTCGTCCTCGCGACGATCCTGGTCGTATGTTCGGCTAACTGCCGATCAAACTTACATGGATATCAAAATTATTACCAGTGTGAAAACATCACGAATCTGCAGGTATTGTTTTATTGAGATATTTATTTAGATTATTTACTGGTTTATATGTATTGTATGATTCAAAGTTTTAAACTCTTTCTGTAATTTTCCTTCAAGAACAAAAGGTTTCTTTTCAGATTGCTTACCACAGAGATAATTTGAATAATCGTAACACTGAAGAAATGTGTCACAATGGAATATTTCTTCAACCATAAAATTAATACTAATTAATTTCATCAGATTTAGAACGACATTATATAAAGTTATTGTATTCTTTAAATCGTACGTTTATCAATCACATCTCTGTAGGCCACCCATAATTGCAGATACTCTCGGTGATACCCGAAGGAGTAATAGGCATCGATATTAAAAACTCGAACATCAAGAAAATACCGACAGACGCATTCTTGATGCATGCCGATTCTCTGGAGGAACTTAATATCACCGGTTGCGGCGTGGAGGAGATCGAGCCTAACGCGTTTCGGGGTCTCAAACTACGCGTGCTGGGTTTGGTAGACAACAGAATTCGTAAACTAGACTCATCGTGGATTCAGGATTTGACAAACCTCGAGGCGCTCATCGTGTGGCGCAATCGAATCGCCGAAGTTGACGCGCAATTATACGATTTGTTGCCGAATCTAAAGCTCTGGGATATCGCGCACAACGAGATGAACGCTTGTTTACCTACGGAATTGCTGAAGAAGCTAACGAAACTGAGAAGGATCTATCTCGCCAGCAATCCATGGTCGTACCGATGTCGCCGCACGATGACGTGGTACTTGGGTAGCAATCACATCCGTTTTGTCCAAGATTGGGGTAGCAGCGATATGCTAATTGAAGAATGTCTTGCCCATGAGCCGAACGCCGACGTCGACGACAATGTTTTATCCAAATGCGTTGATCGCAAGATCGGCTCTACCGAGACGCTGCAAACTGTGTCTGGATTGAGTGAACAGATCCGAGAACTCTCAAGAAAAGTCACTGAATTGGAAATCGAAGTCGCCGCTTTGAAGAAAAACCGGATATTAATTCGTTAAAGCTCGGAATCTCTTTACCTATTTATGAAATTGCGTTAATATATAATGCGTCAATATAATAAATTTCAGCAGAACGTATAACATCGACACGTAATAATTCAGTACTTTTTAAATTAAAATTAAATATCGTTGCCCGATTGCAATTGTAGCTGGAAATAATACTCCAAATACAATGAGCTTTGATAAATTGATAAGACCACTTATTTTCAAATGGGATGTGCGACTTTGAAATTACATGACTTTACAACGAGATACAAACGATTGAGTGTAAAACGTAGAAAAACTTTCAAAATTGAAAATATCAAATAAACGTTCAAAATAAACGCTTCCAAATTCTCACGTAAGAGGCAATCGGTGATGCGATTATTCGCGCACAAAATGATTGAAATATTATACAGCGATGCGCTCTGTAATAAGAACATCTACTTTGATATTCAATCGCATCGCATCATCCCCCGTATCATCGATATGAACGGTATATCGAATTTCAAGTAAATTTTTTTTAAAAGTTTTTCTTTCCGCAATTTTTTTTTATATCTGACAATATGCTCGCAGACAGTTCTACAGTCAGTAATAAACCGTATATGTGTGTGTTTATAAATATCTTTCCCTTCTTTCCCAGTTAAAATTGAAAAAATTTACAAAAAGTCACTATATCGCACTTTTGATCCGCAAGATATTCATAGATCACAGTAACGTGTCGCTTAATACGCTTACATATTAAATCATCCTACGTCCGTGGAACTACGGTTCTCTTTGCAACGAGACAAGAACGTTCCAGTTCAGTCGCCATTCATCAGTGCCGATCAAAAAATGCGTACTGCGCGCAAACGTATAGCAGATCGCACCCGTGTATTCATAAGAGATCTTTAGGGCGGTTTCCGCGATCATTAATAATTCCAAGACGGCAAGGTGAGCGGGAAAAAAACGGGAAGGGCGTTGGCAGGCTAAGAAGGTATGTACTGGCCTGCAGCGTAATTGTAAGAGTGAGAGTTTGGTTACAATACGTCTCTCTCTCTCTCTCTCTCTCTCTCTCTCTCTCTCTCTCTCTCTCTCTCTCTCTGTTGCTCACATGTCATGCTAAAAACATACAGATGATATCTCGATGCTAACGAGAGATATTTGATACGAATGTAGATGGCTCTTTAATACGATGATTGTCTCAATAAATCTTAAAATTTAATGACAATTATGAAAATTAACCCTTAACCTTTTCAGTATTCACCTTTTTTTCAGTGTTTTCCATTGCTTATAACTTTTTTATTAGGTAATAAAGAGACATTTGTTTGATACCGTAATGTTTCTTAACATTTGGCGTTTTGATTAAAAACAAAATTTTTACAATATATTTATTTGTAAAAGTTAAATTGAAAGTTGAGCGTGCCATATTAATGTATTATTCCTATAGATAGGCGTTTAAAGATTAAAACACGTATAACATTCTTTCAAGAAATTAAATTCGGATTGTAACGTTTATTGATAACTTGGTATCAATAAAAAAAAAATCGTTAGAAGAAGATTAATGTCATAAGAAGACGATTTAGTTTATTTTCAAATATTATAAAAAAATAAAGAAAGTATGCTTTAAAAACTCAGTTTTCCATTATAACAAATAGTTTGAGTAGAACAGATTGTTTTATTTTATCCAAAAATATGGATAATCGCGCGAAAATCCAGAGATCTTTAAGTATTGCAGGATAACAATTTTGCTTCCACTACTCTTTTAGAGAGTTTTTATTCTATAGCTCAGATAAAAGTTTTTTTTAAATAATTTATTATATCTGTTAGTGTGCGGCGTTCTAGAACCATACACAGTAAAGTTGTCTTAGGTATCGGCTAGTGATGAGATGAATCGGTTTACTCAGTCGTTTTATCGTATGATCTATGACGGATTTCACGATGATCGACGCGATTCGTAAAGTCGACACGGTAGAAACATACACACACACACACACACACACACACATACACGTACATACAGTAGCCATGTGGAAAGGACATTGTTCCACCTACTGTGCGCAAGGAAACTACCGGTTCTCCGTGATTTATGGAGAGGGTGCCCGCTGCTCGTGCTGCCACACCGCATCCTCGGGGTCCTCCTCTTCATCGTCGTCTTCGTCTTCGAACTCCGTCCTCGTCGCAATTTCACCGTGAAGCATTCTCCGTATGCAGGGATTGCTCCAGTTCCCACGTGGCGAGGACTGTGCTCCTTCTCTCTATCTCCGATTCTCTCTCTCTCTCTCTCTCTCTCTCTCTCTCTCTCTCTCTCTCTGCCGCTATCTATTTGCCTCTCCGAGAGCGTTCGCTCGTCCGCCGATGCGAGTCATACCGCACGGCTACGCGCGGTTATCTATGCACCGCGCTGCACATGCATGCCCTACTACGCACGCCGGTACCTACCGATGCTGCACGCGGTGCATTAACATCGCCGGCTGCAACCCGGAAATCCGAACGTAACATGGGCTCGATGAAGCCCCCATCACGTACCGCTGTACCGCGTACCGCCCGTTGATCTCGGCGAAAGCTCGGCGATGCAAGACACCGCCAGATCTCGAGATCTTCTCGAAATTAACAATACCGACGCAACATTAGTTACATCGCGCATGCAACGCGTATGAAAGAGAGTCGCAGCGTTAAAAAACGCAAAAAAAAAAAATAAGATATACATCCTTTCCCCCGAGTATCTCATAATATATTTTAATACATCCTAAACAGAGTCAGAGCTTTTCAGGCTATCTCCTACCGGCAATACAGCCATTGGCAGGATTGTCAAGTTGTCGTGCACGGAAGGAAACGTAAAAATCAAGAGAATGGTACGTCGCCGATACACCACGGTTCACCTGTCCGCTGAGCTTCGCTAATACAACGGCCTTTTGTTCGGCAAATAGAAAAAAAAAAAGAAAAAAAAAAAAGAGGGAAGGAGGGTGGCTGTGCCTAAAATGAAAGCACCGAGGCGAGCCTCGCGGCCGACTGGAACCCCGCCAAATAATATACCAGCGCCCTATCCACGCCTCTCTCATGCATAACTACCTCTCTCTCTGTTCCTTCTTCTAACGAGGCAGCAGCCGTGTTACTATCGGCTATACGAACTCCATTGGCCCGCTGGAGTACTTTTATATTTATTACGAGAACATGAGAGAAAACGCGGCGGGCGAGGAAGAGCTTGCCAACTGACAGAGACGAAGAAGGAAAGAGAAAGACGGATGACCGTCGCGTTGTTACATAGCGCATATAATCGAGGAGGAGCCGGATGATTCTAGGCTGTATTTCGGCTTTTGTCATACCACGAAGTGGTAAGCCTCTTCGTTCTTCCCGTGAGGAAGGCTTACCGCGGTCTTTTCCGCATGTTGCCGTTCCCTGGATTTCGTAGACGTACCTGCATTCTCATCTGTAACTGTCAACGACTGAGTGTCTACCAGCTGAAAGCGATGCGAACGACTTACGGGTCAGCGTCGAAATTGCCACGGTTGTTTTCGACGTTCGTTAAGTTTATATCCGCAAAGAAGGCGATGTCTTACGTCCTCTTAGCAACGTTTATCAGTACGCTCTAATTATTAACGCAGCGTGTGAAATAACAAATGAATCATGTAAGTTATTCTTTATACAAGATGATATCGACTTGTCGCTTCTGTAATTATCACATGTAATATTTTCTCAGGTGAATAAGGTATTGATGATATTACTGATAAAATAACGATATTGTTCTGGATTTTTTTGTAAAATAAGACAAACTACGGGATAAAAGTAAGACAAAATAAATCTTATTATACAATTTTTTCTAAAAGGTTAGATTGTGACAGATAAAAACGTGATACAGTATGACCGCTAATTTATAAACTTACAGTTCTCTGTTAATCTTTGTTACAAATATTTTCTCGTGATAATCTAATAAACAATTTATCTTCTTCCCTACATTTTTCTATATTATAATACATTATTGTATGAAATTTGACAGATTAGATATGCTTTATTGCAAAGTTATAAACAAATATTGACACAAAATATTTTTACAGCCTTTCAGTAGTGAATAGAACATTGGCATTTTCATGGCAGTTACTATTTCACAACGATAGAAATCTAACAGCTATTCTTTTCGAGCGTAGTCGCTGTTTCAGAGCTGAACGAATATCATATATTCACAGGTCGAAATGATACTGAATCATTTAAAGATAGTAAATATAATGTGAATATACACACGAGATAAATGTTCGACTTGCCGTATACGAAATGTACGTTTTCATATTCTACGCAAAGAAAAATTAATTATTTCATCATGTCCCGTTTTAATATTTGTTTATAACTTTGTAATAAAAGCATTCTTATAGCCGAACTTCATATAACATTTTTTAATTTCCACTTATAGAATATATTCCCACAGTTTGTCCGTTAAATCCTGAGACACTCTATGTATAATAAACACTCTATGTGTAATAAAAATAATATGTAATAACAATGATAAATGACAGCTTTTTAGAAGAGAATGAACGAGAGATGCTATTAAAACACGCAAACGGGAAGCTATGGACGAATTTGGGAACGACGATTACAGCTTTTCGTTATTTCTCGTCGCTTTTTTTCGCGCCATCCGCTCCCTTTTTCCGCCTTCGTGTAACGAAATGTAAAAAGAAGAGAGAGAGAGAGAGAGAGAGAGAGAGAGAGAGAGAGAAAAAAAGAAGAAAAAGAAGGGGAAGAAAGTAGTTCGCGGCGTGCACGAGTCGGCTCTCTCGCGTGTAGCCGAGTTAAACCGACGCGGCGGTGATTGATGACGCTTCGGTGTAACGATCGCCTCTGCACCCGCGAACGTGGCGCCGGGTTAGGCTCCACCGGGAGACACGAATGAGAGAGAAAGAGAGCCGGGGTGGAAAGGGAGCGAGGAAGAGTGGAAGGAGGCGAGGCAAGTGAGACAGATGGACGTAGGAACGGACGAAACCCCTCGTTATCCTCGATTTTACAGGAATTAAAGGGCCGATTACGCGCGACCGCCACACCCGCGATTAAGACAGGCGCGGATTAAAATCGTGCCGCTTGGTGATTTTACATCTGACTAAACGTCGCCTCGCTACCAACGTATTTCAGTTAACTCAGGACTTTCGGCTAACTCGACATGATACATAATTAACATTATTGCGTCCCGTTCGGTGTTAGCGATTAAAGATTAGCGTACTCAAGTGCCTTTATTTTTTTCTCCTTTTTTGCTTTTCTTCTTATTAGCTTCTACCGTCCAAATTAACGAAAAACGAAAGCAAATGACGAAAATTAGAAATGTTGCTTTAAAAATTTATATGAATTAATTTATCGACTTCATTATCAATATATAAATTAATCTATATATAAATTTCATATCAAAATTTTATCGTAATAGTCAAAATTTTAAACATAGACTTTGACTTTCAGTATATAAATTCGCAGACACTTATTGCAGAAATATAATTATCGATCTCTACAAAAGTACCAATTTAGAATAAATGATATTGATGATATCGTATACATA